AAAATCTAACTAAAATTTACCCACTTTCAGGTAAAAATTTTTATAGTAAATGGTAACCGTTAAGGATATAAATTTATTTTATTATTTGAAAAAAATGCACACTAACTATGTACAGGATTATAAAAAAAATTAAAGAAAATTAATGTTTGTAGGGTTGTATATGGCTTTTGTGTTGAAAAATGAAATAGAATAAAAAAAGCAGAAAGAATAACATTCAGTTAACATTTTGGTGAGTTTTAGATGTAAAAAGGAAAGATATAAGGACAAGAGGTTACACCAATAGATTGTGGAAGAATAAAATTAAAGTAAAGTTCCATGTAATAAATTAAAATGATGTCCTGGACAAAAATTAATAAAATAAAGCGAAAATAATAATAACAGTAACAGTAATATAAAAATATTATGCGAGTTAAAAGGACCTTACATGTCCTTCCATTCTGTGCCACATATAACAATTCTGTTTAGATTTAATATGGTGTGCGAAAAGTATTTCCAACTTCTCCTTACGTTTTGTATAGAATATCGTCAATTTACACGTTCAATTTTCTTTTCCAAAGTCGCAGTCTGTGGTATTTAGTCAATTTAAACATAAAACTTCATGTACCTAATAAAAAAATATATTAAATCGCATTAACTTAATCTAGAAATTAATTCAAAGCTCACTAACGTTTTCTTAATTTATATTCTCAAATATTTACCATTCTTTTTGATCACCGCTCGGGCGCCAAACTCTCCATAGTAAAGTAAAGTATCATAAAGATCTGAATTGACATCGACAGCTTAAATGAATTGAACTTGAAATCACCCGTTACAAACGGGTATAATAGTGTAATAGTTTAATTGTTTATTGACACATGTGTAAAAAAATCGTTTTAAATAAGTCAAATTTCGTAATAACAGCAGACGTGAACCTAAAAATAAAAATTTTCTGTTTTTTATAGTAAATCAATAAAAATATTATAAAATTAATAATTTAATATTAAAAAAAGTATTTAATATTAGAATAAATCGAATTTTTTCGGAAAATGATTGCAATAAAAGAATAATTGATCAATTTATACTCGTACACATATAAGTACTGTCAATTAATATGTCAATGCTAACATTAAAAGTTTAATAATTAATTAGCAATTCAAACTAAGACATAAATAAAGATAAATAAAACAGCGAATTGCTTTTTATTTGTTATATGGTGGAAACAAAGCAAATGACACCCAAATGACACAAACAAATATAATTGGAATAATTTATAACGGTTAGTAAATTTAACCCATTACTATTAAAAGTTATTATACCAAATATTATAATATTGTAGAGAAATGAAACAATTAATCATGCCATTTCGAATATTAAATATAAATAATATAACAATTTAGTGATATGTCAATAATATTTATTTGTATAACACTTTACACTATATTGAACTCAGTATTTGAGAAAAAAATAAATAAAAATTTGCAGTCTTTGTTTTTAGTTACGCTTGAACTTCCATTCACTGAATATGAAAAAAATTTGGAATCCTATTTCAATAATAATTATTTTAATTTGTAAAGTTATGTTTTCTATTAGTAAAAGCATCGATTTAGATGATTGTAAAGCGATCAAGAGCATCAAATGGGAATTATTTGACTGTTTTTTTTATGAAATCAATTTTATTAAATTGGTTGTTATCCATAATGATACGACAAGAAATTATTTAGATCCACTAAGAGGTGCATTTTTAAAGGAGTTTCACAAAAACATAAAAATGCCCGTTCTCCTTTTAAATTATAATTTTTATGAAGAAATCGAATTCGATTATTCAATGACATTTTCTTGGCTAGAAAATAAAAAGCTTCCATTGAGATCAACACAAAATATTTCAAAAATGACTGTAAATCAAAATAAAGCATCAAAATGGGGCGACGATCATTTCGGTGCTATTGTAATATTCGATGATATTAAAGCGCTTGATGAATATTTTAGTGGCACTGTACGAAAACCATTTCATACACCAGAAGGTCAATTTATAGTAGCAATTTTATCTAATATAACAAGTGTAGAAATGATTTTTTTAGAAGTAATTATTAAAAGAATGTGGATTGATTATGCAATTTTAAGAGTAGTTTTCTTAGAATGCGGTTCACAGGCAAGTACCAGAGAACAAATAAACAAAATTTTATAGATATTTTTGTTTATAAATTTATATTTTATTCCAGGATATAATATATTTCGATCCATTTTATAGGACATCATACGTATACCATTTTCTAGATTTTTATAATGGTTGGGGTAGAATCATTAAAGAACCGTTGACGAAAACGTCAAATATATGTGAACGTAGCAAACCAAATTATCCAATAACAATGAATTCATTTCCAATAAGAGCTATTTCATTTTATAATTATCCAACCGCAATAAACTGGTACGAATTACCAAGATCATATACAAATTTACTAAAAGAATCAATTAAATATTCTGGGTATGTGGAGAATCAAAATGAAACTGAAACATTTATTGAAGGTTTTGGTGGTTACGATGGTATCGCTTTTGCACATTTATCTCAAGCATTAGAATTTCAAACTATTTTAAAAGTTATTGATGGTATAAATAAATATGGATATTTAACAGAAAATGGAACATTTGAAGGGTCCATAGGTGAAATTATAGAAGGTCGGGCTTTAATAACAACGAATCCCCACTTTATGCAATATTATGGAACAAAAGATATAGCATTTTTAAATCATGTGACATTTGATAAATTTTGTGTTGTTTCTCCGAAAGCACCCCGTGTACCCCAATATTTAGCAATATTTTTATGTTTTACAGCCACAGCTTGGATTACTATAATAGTTTGTAACATCAGTTTGGGATTTATTTGGTATTTTATGAAGCGATTTTTAAAATTTGTTCATAATCATTTACAAAAAATTGATTGTACAAGATGTTTGATTGATATGACATTATTAATGACAGGAACATCATTACCGACTGTTTCAAATTTGTTTATGTCAGAAAGAATTTATTTTTTTGGTGTTTTTGCATTGAGTGTTATTTTAAATGGTATTTTTCAAAGTCGACTCATTTATTCATTTGCTCATATATGGTATTATAAAGATATTAATACATTAGATGAATTGGATAAGTCTGGATTGAGAATTGTGATAGGATCCCCAACTTTAAAATCAGTTTTTGGAGATAATACAACAGATAATTTGGTTCTAAGATCCCTTTCTGCAAAAGTGGTTTCCAAAAAAATATTTAAATATAGCGCAAATGGTGATATGAATTCAGTGTTAGGTGAGGCTTTGGATGAAACGACCTTTTGTTCAATGATACGCAGGAGAGATTTCGAAGTTTTAGTGGTAAAAAGTTTAATAATTTTTATATGAAGGTAAATTAAACAGTATTCCTTTATTGAATGGAATGATGACTTACAGCTGGAGAACAAATATGAACACTATGGAACGCAAACTATAAATTTAGTTAGTGAGTGTCCAAGATCATATTATTTGACATATATAATACGCAGAGGCTGGCCCCTTTTAGATAAATTTAATAGAGCACTTTCACTTTATGATGCTGGTGGTAAATATGTTTTTATTTTTGTACTAGGTTACATTGATCGAATTTATTTTTTATTTCTATTATTCGAATAGAATTTTATGTAGAACATAATATACTTTAAAACTTCTTAAATTATGTGTATATATCTTAAAAAAATTTTTTAGGTCTTCGAAGACAGTGGTTTGTTATGTCACAATATGCGAAAATGCTATCAATTTCTATTAAAATATTTAAAAAATTAATTGAAGAGCGCATCGAAAAATCTAGAAGACCATTCAGTTTAAATGATATGCAAATGTCATTTTATGTTTTATCGTGTGGTATTACGATTTCAATGATTGTATTCTGGGCGGAAAAATGTCTTCATAGTTACAAGAAAAAGAAGTTTGCAAGTACAAAGAGGAATGAACACAAATAACTTATTTTTAAAATAATTGCCGGAATTTTGGCAACTCAAATAAATTTACAAGATGTACGCAATATATAAAATAAAACATTGATTTTTGTATTGAAAGTATCAAATTGATAAAGAACGAAATTTTATTAAAAAATAAATTTACGTATTTATTACGTATATTTTTATTATCTGGATGCGGTCTAAATATACTTTTATGTCATACTACATGTGCACCACAAGCAATACTAAAAAAACATTTCAAAACAATTTGTTAAAATTTTAAAACACCACCTCCTACTATTATGTTTTCTATTCTGCTGAAATATAAAATATTTCAAAGAATTTGTAAGTATATGTACATATATTTCATTTTGAGAATTAAATCTTTTATTCCTCTTTAACTCAATTTATATTTTTCTATTTCTCATGAGTTAATTTTTGAATTATTCTCTTTTTTTTTACAATCTTTTAACTCAATTTACTCATAAAATATAAATTTCGCTCTAAATCTCTCAAAAACTTGAGTTAAAATTTATTATCTTACTCAAATAACAGGTTTTCTTTTATCAAAAATCTCATATTAAGGGGAACATCCCCCTTCTTCTATTTGTGCTACTTGTACTTATTAATAAGAACAGTTTTTTTTTAATATGGATGGACGCATGCTTAATGATTGGTTAATTCGACGCCATATTTGAAATGTTAAAAATTTCATCGTCTCTTTCCCGCACACATAATTTACGATTAAGTATTATTTTAGATTTGTAAATGCAATTGCCATATGTTTTTCATTCTCTGCATAATATAATAAGAGAAACTGAGAAAGTAATATAATGTAAACAAACAACGTAATTTATCATTCAAAATGTAAATGTGTAAGTGAATAATATTTCTCAATAATAAAATGAAAAGAAAGATAATAATAAAAAGTTAAAAATTGTGGTGGGGTAAGTAAGAGAGAAAACCATGTTGAGTGTTTTTTTCATAGCTGTCAAAATTTTTACAGAACGAGTTGAGAAAATCAAGTAAGTCAAGAGCATTACCAATTTATCGTTAGTTCGAGTTCAACTTTCGTTCAATTAAGACGTTTTGGTCTAGTGAAGGAATAAATTGATTAAAAAATATTAAAGCATTCTTATATAAATGTGTGTTTAAAAAATATAAGAAAGTGATTTAAAGAAGATTAAAAAAAATTAGCGAAGATACACAATTGATAAAACAAAATAGGAGATAACATTGAGATTAATGTTCTTCTATATTTAAATAAGAAAAGTGAATATCATAATATATATGGTTCTGTAAAATATAAAATATTTAAATTACAGTTAAAATAAAATAAATCGTGAATATTTACAACATTTTCTGGTCAAAATAGAATTTTGAATAGAATATTAGAAAATACAAAACATAGTGAATAAAAAAAATTACGGAATATTATTGCAGTGAAATAATAATTTCAAGAATATTTTCAAAAGAAAATTTTATGTGAATAATACTTTTAAATATTCAGTCAAAAATCAAAATATTAAAGTGCAGTAAAATATATCTCATGTATTGTTAATTTAAATAAGAAAATTTATTTCAAGAAAAGAAATTAGATAAAATAATTTAATAAAAAAATAAAAACCAAAAACGGATTACTATCATTTAAAGGATTAGCAGAATTTTATTGCCCTTTGTGGATTACTTACAGCGTATTTTGTTCACTTTTTAAATATCTCAAAATTTAAAAATTAATAACATGGTAGTATTGGAAGGCGGTGGTGGTGTAGTCACCATCGGCAATAATCAATATTTGCAACCAGATTATTTGTCACCTTTACAGACTACAGTAAGTAAAATTCAATTTAACTATAATTACACACATTTAAGTTTTTGAGAGAATAAAATTTAGCTATTTAAAAACAAACTCTAGCTATTCAAAACTCAATTAATTGAAATTGAAATAGGTACATGCAATAGTTAATTAATTTTTACTTCGTTCCTATGAGGAACAATAAAATTTTTGTGTAGATTTTTGTTAATTCAAATTAGTTTCAAAGAAAATATTTTGCAATTTACTAGATTTTACATAAACATTTTCAGAATTGACAAAAATATTTTCTACAAAAAAAAATACTTGATGAATTATTTAAGATTAGAGTTAGAATAGGAAGATCGATTTTTCAAGCGCAATTAATTAGGAATATACTAGAACTTTACTTCGAAAACACTTATTTTAAATATTGACATTTCACTTTTCATTTACAATTATTATAAATAACCCCACAAGTTAATTAATACAAGCTATATTATACATTATAACAATGTAGTATATAAGCTATAGTATACAATATAGTAGATATATTATATACCTAAGGAGAGAAATGTGTGTAGGTAGGTACATACAATGCATCTGTATATAGTATATTATAGCAAATTTTTTATTTTATTTTGAAAACAATAGTAGGCAGTTCTCTGAATATGATATGTAACTTACATTATCATATGACAATTAATCATATGATATGTAACTTTTCAATAGTACAACAATACAGTTTTGCTGTGATTTTTAAACCAAAGATGCTTAAAATCAATACGTCTTACTGTTTTATAAACGGTACAAAAGCAATCCATACATATGAAATTCAGTGTAAAGACAAAATAGTAGGATTTTAAATAGATTTTTACAGTCATGCTCTTAAGAACAATAAGAAAAACAAAATATTATCGGACGCTTAAAACTGTTGAACTATTACAGTGCTCTCATTAGACCGATTCATAATATGTATTTTTTTAAATTTTCCATTTTGAATTAGAGGATTAAATTTTTAATTTTCAAATCTCGTATATATTATGGTATAAGAATCGCATCTCCTGTAAATTATTTGAATACCAATCAAATTAGATGATTGACATTATTTTAAAATGACATACTTTTGATAAGTTTGACTTAAAGTTCGTGATCCAATTTTTTTAATACTATATAATTATGATTAGTTGTTACTCTTAAGTTTTATTTTTAGTGAATTATACGTTCTAATGAGCGACTGACATTTTTAGAATTAGTTGATTTTAATAATAATATAATATAATACTACAGTTTATTTATTATTTTTAAAATTTAATTGCCACATAATTTTTTTATTGCTATTCAACATAATTAAAAAAAAATAAAACTGGGTTAACCTTTCCGCAATCAAAGGTTTTAAAATTTATTGAACCATATCAATTCCATTTTATTACACGATGATAACAAAAAATGATTATTAAAGTGATATTGAAGTTTTGATGTACTAGAATTTTAATAGTATTATAGCAATTTTGACTTAGAAAATAAAACAATGATCCATATGCTTGAAAATATAGAATAATTATTATTTATAACATTATTAAATGATATGTATGACAATTTAGATTAGAGTAAAATTTATGATTTAATATAATTAAGCAAATAATTTTGTTCTGTTGGAAACAACAAAAAATGTTATAAGCACTTTCTTTCAAAAAATCAAAAGTGATTTTTATCTCGCGCTCATTAAGGATGTTCTAGTATTAATATTCAATTTTTTTTTTTAAATTTACAGTTGGACTCAAAAAAGAGCCCCCTAGCTTTATTGGCCCAAACATGTAGTCAAATTGGTGCTGATTCAACGGCAGTAAAACCAATTTTAGCCTCCGACAAAAACAAGAAACCTAATGACACAACATCAAAGTCACCGTCATTAAAAACACCAAAATCAACAACACCATCTTCAACAGAAGTACGTTTGGCTTATAAACCATATGAAGCGAATGTCTTATCGCATCATCCTGCAACGAATACACAATCTTTAAATACTCATAAAATATTGACAAGTGAAGACTATATGCAACGTCCAAATTCAAAAAGTAGTGTTGCAACACCACCCGCAACAACAGTTAGCATTGATTGTAATAGTAATAGCAGTAATGATACTGATAGAAAGTCGAAATCACCAAATAGTACATTAAATAATAACACAATTAATAGCATGTTAAATAACAGTAACAATAGCATAAATAATAGTAATACCGGTGATAACATAAAATCAAATTCGACGCCAGACTTAAACTCGTCAAATGCAAATAGTAATCAAAGTTCTGACAATTCAAATACAGCATTGAATGGTAAACAAACACCAAATAACTCAAGAAAAGCAGTATCACCAGCTGGATCATCACAACGAGGTGCTAGTCCAATCATTAGATCAGGCATGGAAGTATTGCATGGGCATCCAAAAGATATGCAATTGCCAAGTAGTTATAAACCGGGTTCCGCAACTGGACCGTACGGCATGAATCCTTTAGCAGCATTGTGTTGCCCACCCGGTATGGAACAACATGCAAGTAACCCAGCATTTAGACCACCATTTGCTGGCAGTTATGCACATCAGCATGCTGCTATGTTAGCTGCAGCTGCTGCTCAAGGTTATCCCGGTGCGAGTGGTGCTGCTCATAACAATCCATACATTAGTTATCAAAGAATTAAAACACCATCTGGTGGCGAAACAATTGTACCAGTTTGTAAAGATCCATATTGTCCAGGGTGTCCGTATTCAGCCCATACTCAACAAATGTTAATGGGAGCACCGTGCCCAAGTGGTTGCACACAATGTGAACATCAAAAATATGGTTTGGCAATGGCTGCAACATTAGGTTCTTTACCACCAGGTCATCCATATGCGGCCGCTGCCGCAGCTGCTGCTGCAGCACAAGCTCAACAACAAGCTCAAATGAGATCTCCCTATGTTTGTAACTGGATAACTGGTGATTCTTACTGTGGAAAACGTTATAATACATCAGATGAACTCTTTTCGCATCTAAGAAATGCACATACAGGAAATTTATCTGATCCAGCTGCTGCTGCTGCTGCCTTGGCTCAATCACAAGCCCAGTCATTACTAAGTTCATTATTTCCACCAAGAGGATACCCCACAGCTCCACTAAGTCCACTATCGGCAGCTAGATATCATCCATATGGTAAACCAACTTCAATTCCCCCACCAATTCCAGGGTCAGCTTTTTCAACTGGGGGTTTTAATCCGGCAGCAGCGGCTGCTCTTGGTCCCTATTATTCACCATATGCCATGTACGGACAAAGAATTGGTTCAGCGGCTGCTCATCAGTAAAAGAAGAAAACCATAACGTTTTTATAATTTTTTTTATCGACGTTTTTTTAATTAATTTATTTGTTGTAATTAATCGTATACAAACAAATTTTTTTAAAGCCAAATAATTATAATATAATTAAGTAAAAATTACATAGAAACAAAAGAAAAAGTTAAATATTCTTTTTTTTTTAATCATTTTTTAATTTTGTTATATACCAGCATTGAATCATTTGACATTTGTTAATAATTTAATATTTCAAAAGCAATTGTGACAGTTTCAGTGTCAACATGTCAAAATTTTTTATGAGACTTAAATATGAGGTTTTTTTTTAATTTTTATTTTAAGTTTTCAGTTTTTTTTAAAGATTTATTTTTAACTTTGATAAACATATTAAACTATTTGTTTTTTGAAAAAACTGTGATAAAAATGAATGAATATGCGTATGTGTAGTGATTAAATTTAAAATAAAAATTCAATAACGGTATAAAATCAATATTACAAAAAAATATCAGATTGAAAAGTAATTTAAAAAAGTCATAATTTTTAAAAGCTAAAAAAAATATTAAAAAATTAGAAAGAAAAAATAAAATTAATGTACAATGTAAGTAATGGAATATTATCTTCAGAATGATCGCCAGACAAAAAAATCTGGAAAGAATGTTTAGAGATTTTAACGAATTTGGTTAAATTTCTCTTCTAAGATAGAGAAAATCATAGAGCGATTACCAAATGCAAGTGTTGAATTCAAAGGATTAGTAAAGTGTTACCCAATTCTTTAAACAATGTTGAAGATAATATTTTATTAACTGTTCTAAATATTTTTGATCATTATTATTATTGATTGAATTAATTATTTTTGTTCTTTATTATTAAAAATGTATAAATATCTTTAATTTTTGTTTAAAAACAATGTCAAATATTTTAGTCGAATGTCACCACCTCATTGAATTACTGTATTGAATAGGTACATATATGTACATACACAAAATAATTATTGAAAACAATTCTTTAAATTGCATACAAAAATTATTTATTAATAATAATTATTTTCTTTAATTTAAATATCATCTTTCAATTACAATACAAAAAAAAAAAAAAACAAAAAAATAAAACAAATATAAAGTACACAACTTATTTAAAAAAAAAAAAACAAAAAAAATTAAATTTATAAAAAAATTGTAGACTTTTTCTTTTAATTTTATTTTAAATTAATCGAAACCAATTATTACTGATAAATTTAAATAATTCAATATTAAAAATAATGTAAATATAAACATAAACAGAAAAGAGGTATTGCTAAAACACAAAAAATTTCAGCAATAACCGCAAAATAAAAACAAAAAATTGAATAAATTTATTTAATTAATTAAAATTTTGAAAGATTAGCTCTAGTTATTTAGGGAATAAGTTTCAAAGAACAAAAATGATAGAAATAAATAAAAAAAAACAATTTTGAATTTATTATGAAAAATATGAAAAAAAAGTTTAAAACAAAAAAAAAGAAACAGAAAAAATAAAAAAGTCAAATTGATTTAAAAAAACAATTAATTCTTTTTTTTAATTAAAATGTTATTCCCGTACTCCACTATTAGGTCAGAAGAGAATGATTGCAATGATACCGAGATTTTCGTCTGAAGCAACTCTTGTTACTCTTGAATCTAAATATTTAAAATAAACTACTGAGACAATAGTAAAGCTAACACGGTTTAATGGATGATTAGCAATGGTTTTAAAGTGATTCAAAAAAAACAATTTAAGTAATGGATAAGGGCTAATGAAAAATCTGATAAAAATCTGATAAAATCTGACAAAATACTAATGCTTTAAAACTTCATTAGTTTTTTTAAGTACAGAAAAATCTGAAATCCATTTAAATATAATTCTAATTATTTTCATTTCCAGATGTTTAAATTTTTCTGAGCAAGCTACTAGTCATTCCATATGTAACACCATAACGTAATTTAATATGCATATGATTACTAAATTCGCATTTAAATTCACAAATATACAATATTATTTAAAATGATTGTTTTGGCATAGTGTTAATATTGAAATGACATTTAACGAAACGTATGGATTAAATGTTAATATGATTTCATTTAGTTATGACATAACAATATTTAATGAAATAATTATAATGGCTTAACATCGTTTTGTTCTCGATTATGTCATTAATAAATTTTGAGATCTGACTGCCGTTGTTGCTCAACAAAATAACCATGAATTATTTCGATGCAACAGTAAGAAAGCATATCGAGCACATGACAAGTGTGTTTGAGAGTCTGAACTAAATTCGGTGAAAGAAGGTAATTCCAGCATACTTGATTTTATTACTTGATTAATTATTGATCTTATTACATTTAGCACTCAAAAAGATCATAATTTTTTATTTCTCTTGAAATGAAATTTATGCTTTTCAAATCATAAGAGATAAAAACATTAAAAAGTAGGTAAAATTAGAGTTAGTAATAAATTTTCTTTTTAATTTGCCTCAAACCAAATGAAAGAACATTAAAATAAATATTTAATGTATATGCGTATATGTATATATGTTTATATTTATAGCTTTGATTTATAGTTGAAGAAATGTTGACATGCAACTATTTTCGGCGTTTATCATTTTTAAAATATTTTGCGGTATGAGAGAGTCTGCAGTAGTATCTGCCATTTCTGGTTGTATTTCTTAATTTAAGTTTTATTCACTTAATGTTATGTTTACTGCAGAATTTCATTTAAAAATTTTGCTTGTTTATATAATTAAAGTTTACCTTATACCACTGGCATCACCCTACCAAATACAAAAATTGTTTCTCACTGTGTACATATGTATGTGCAACTAACGAACGAAGACTCAAATGCCATAATATTTCGCTGAAAGGATTTTTTATTTTCATTTTTTCAAATTTTATTAATAAATCTAAAGAATATATACTTAGGTATGCAGATACATACATATTATATACATAGTATGTGCTTTTTCAAAAACTAAAAATATATTTACAAATGTACACACATTAATTTATAATAAATGCTGGCAATGTATGCTATGTAAGTAAGTGTGTATGTACCTACATTTAAAATAGGTATTTGGAATATTTAGTATGTAATATAATGCGAAATGATGATTTATTAGATGATGTTCTTGTTTTGAGTTATGAGAGAAATGATTTAAGTGTTATTTCACTTGGTTTAATTTTTCATAGGAAAAAAATTCATGTTATTTTCAAATTTATGCATATTATTTATGTAGACACTATGTGTAGCTATAAATATTATATTATGAATTATGACGAAAAAAAAAACAAGAAAAAAACAAAAATTAATATTTATGATTTTTGTAATAAAGGACCAGAATGTTTATTTATTTTTGTGGTAGGGTAGTTTTTTTTTTTTGATGTATAGAGTAACGAAAACTTAGATATTTCTGAATTGATCTATTTCAGTTTTTTGTAGGATTTTACATAATTTGCTATTCTGGATTTCATATTTTTTTCATTTGGATATTATTGAATATTGCAGTACTTAAATAATTATATACGAACACAAAATATCATAATATTATAATGGTTAAACTGTTTATATCTAATCCAACTTTAAAATACACCATCAAATATTTTAGTGTTTAAGCTTAAGTTGTAATTTCAATAAAAAAAATATCACATATGGCAGAAGTCAAAAACAAAAACGTTAAACTTGACAAATAAAATCTAGCTAAACAATGAAAATTTTGAATTATAAAATTGGTGAAAAAGTATGGTATAAAAGGAATGTAAAAATTTTCAAAAAATGGTTATTAGGTATAATTTTTCAAAAATTAAGTACAACACGTTATAAAATCAGATTAAATAATGGTATTAAAGAAGTTCATGTAAGCCAATTAAGAAAAATTGAGGAAGATGTGTTTTATTTTAAAAATAATATTCTTGAATCTAAAGAGAAGGAAGCTACCTTAAATATGGTTCATGATCAAAATTAGCGAAGAGAATGAAGAAAACTAAAAAAAAATATGTATAACATTAAGTATATCTAATCTTAGTAAATCGAAATGAAATTAAAATGTAAATATAAATTTTTCAATTATAATTAATAAAACTTAAATTTACTGTTAGTCATAGTTAATTATTAATGAAATAAGAATAAGATTGTATGGTGAACGAGAAATTATCGTTGATTCTTTAATTCTATTTGATTTTCTGCCAAAATGACATCTTGTGTCAAATGCTTTATGTCAAATAGACGTCCAACCGATTATAGCAAACGGCTAAAAAGATTATGGGAATGGTCTTATGCAAAACAAAAACCATATTTTCGCACTTGTATCTGATACACAAAGCGTACTAGAAATAAATTATGAATAAAAGAATGAATCTGTCATTTGACAATCAAAATATTGTCAAATAAAATCCGTTATTTGTCACTTTTCTGCTACATGTAGGAGAATTTATAATACGAGTAGTTATTCTTCAAATTAAATATTAAAAAGTATTTACTTTTGATTAAATACACATTTTAGGGATTCAGTTTAAGAATTATGTACGTATTCAGTTCTCATATCTTATATTTTTCGTTTAATACCAATTTTTGTAAATTTAACATGTACCTTTTTCTTTAATATTGTTATAAGAACATAGCCTACCCGTTATAGATTTAAATCATATTCATAATATACATTAAATGTAAGTAAAATATGTGTAACAAAACAAAAATTTTTAAAGTATTAAACCTACGTTTACATATAAATAATGGTTTCATATTACCTGTTTATAAGCTAGTCAATCCCGTATATTAATAAATCTGTCAGCAAAAAAATTAATTCAAATATAATATTATGCTTTTTACTTGTGGAAAACATTTAATAAAATTAATATCATTTAACCACATATTAATTTTTCTTTTTAATCATTTTTTTTTTTAAATAATAATAAATTATAGACATACTTGACAAATACTTGACTCTAGTCAATTTCTGTCAATAATAAATAACAAAAAAAATACAAAAAGAATAACGTAAATTGAACAAATAAATTATTATGACCAGAAAAATCATAAATCTAAAATTAAAAACTATTCATTTTAATATTTTCACCTTGACGCAATAATTTCAAGCCTTTTTCAATAATACAAAGTAAACTTCAAAAAAATTTAAACCGCTTTTCTTCTAAAGTTAAAAGAGTAAAAAAATGTGAAGAAATAAATTATAATGTTTTTTTTTTGCCGTCAAATAGCAGTACAACCTTTTATATTTTAAAAATTTGTGTTTTATTGTACCTCGTTTTAGTGTTTATTGATATTTGATTACTATTAGTATATAAATATGTAAACAAATGAATAAAAAACAATTTTTTTTTATTCTATTACAAAACTCACCATACCAGCACCTATATCCCATCATAATATTTCTATATCTTCTTACTCATTCCCTCCTCTTAAGTGCCTAATCTTCTACATAATATTCACTATAATCTCTCTTTCAAACAGCATTATAAAGCTGCTAATCATATGAAAAATAAATCAAAATAAAATTTGTTTTAATCTGATAATCCCCTGGCATTAATACATCATTTTCATATAAATCTAACAATTTTATCATATCAATCAATAATAAATTTTGAAAAGAAAAATATAAATTACAAGAAAAAGCAAAAAAAAAATAATAAAGTAAAATTGAGAGAAAAAGTGATTTATATATATAATGTACATATATGTATATTGAAAAGAAAAACCATTAGGTATAACAATAAGACATTGACAGGAAATTTAAATCACATTAAATATAATGTGTTAGTGTTTGGGCTGCCGATGATGTATCAAAATTAAATTTTGAGAAAATTGAGATTTTTTTTAGACAATTCTCCACATATACTGAGATATTTAAATTATATATTTGACATACAATTGTGTCAAAATTATGTAACTTATTTTGTAAACGTAATAAAATAATTTACTGTAATCAAAAATTTATTGTGTGGGTGCTGCATTCATTTTATAATTGTAATGCTAATTTAAGCAAATTTAATTAAATTCCTCATAACTATAAGAATAATATTCATGATGTAAGAATGCTTTTTTAACAGTTAGATAAACTATAACAGTTTTACTGCAGCTAATAGGAATTTTATTGCTTCACTAAACAAATCTGTAATACAACGGTAACTTAATTTCTTAATTATATTTTCGCTATAATATTTTAAAACACAACGGTATTTGCCAATTAAGGTATTTTTTATTGCTTAAGAATAATAATTAATAAATTTTTAAATGTG